CTGAGTGCATGAGCCAGGAATAACCCCTGTACAATTCCAGGTGGGACCCAAAAAGAAAAAGAAAGAAAGAATATGGCGGGAAATATAGAAAACTCAAAAGAAGCTCTGAAGAGAATAACAGAAGCTGAGCAGAAAATCAAGAAGTTCTAAGATGACAAAGAGGAAACCACTAGGAAACAGAAGAAAGTGGAAAGTAGTCTGAAAAGTACTGAACAGTACACCAAAGAACTATGGAATGAATTCAAGGGGAACAAACGAAGAACCATAGGATTCCCTGAAGAATAGGCAAATGTGATAAAGGAACAACAGTTAAAGAAATCATCACTAAGAACTTCCCAGAGTTGAGGATTACAGGCACTGTTATCCAAGAGGACTGAATGGTCCCAGAAAAAAACAGACTCAACTACAAAAACCTGGGTTCGATTCCTCCACCCCTCTTGGAGAGCCTGGCAAGCTACTGAGTGTATCCCGCCCGCACGGCAGAGCCTGGCAAGCTCCCCATGGCGTATTCAATATGCCAAAAACAGTAACAAGTCTCACAATGGAGACCTTACTGGTGCCCACTCGAGCAAATCCATGAACAACAGGAGGACAGTGCTACAGTTCAGTGCTACAAACAAAGGAGAGCCCATAAGACATACAGCAGATCTATCAAATGAAACTTCATGAGCCAAAAGAGTATGGAGGAAGATAGCAAAAATACTCAACAAAACGAAACCTCACCAAAAATACTCTATCCAGCTAGGTTATCAATCAGATTTGAAGAAACAAAACAGAGCTTCATGGACAGACAACAGCTTAGGGAATTCAAAGTCTCAAAACCAGTTTTGGAAGAAGAATTAAAAGAGCTTCTCTAAAGGACAGGATAAACTTCCCAACATGTGACACTGAGTACGGCACACACAAACAGTACATGAGGTTGCTTCATACTGGATTAAGAATAGTATATTTACTCCTACCTGGCTAAGGGATTTTATACATTTTCAGTAATGAATTAACGTCTTAGTTATACTGGTTAAAATTACCTCGCAATCAATCATCACAAATTGACTGTTATTGATTTATTTTCTGATAAGTGCACTTGCCATTCCTGCGAGTATTGTTGGCACAAGTAATAGGAAATAAATTTGTTATATGCCTGTCAAGGGGGCAGGCTGAGGAGTGGGAGGAACCTGGGGACACTGGTGGAGGAAGAGGGGACACTGGTGGTAGGATTGGTGTTGGAATATTATATGGCTGAAACAAATCTATTATGAACAAAGTTATAAATCACAGTGTCTTAAAAATTCTTTTCAATCTGTAATTCAGGGAGGGGTCTCTCAGGTTCTGTTGCCTACTCTAAAATGAACTGATATTTTAAAGGATGATTTTAATCTGGAAATGCAATGTTCATCTGCCATGTTGCTTGGCACATTATCGGTACTTGAACAGTGGCAATTAGGGATCAGAAAATCGGACAGCAGTTAGATTCCTGGCACTACAAGTTGCCCCCAAACACTTCTGAGTGTGATGCTGGTGACCGTTGGCACTGCCAGGGTGGCCCAGAGATCTCTAGCACTGCAGGGCCCAATTAGCAGTTCATCTACAGACACTGGCATTGAATCATTAGCCCAGTTGGCCAAGAACTGCCAGTGGGACCCCCTAGTCTTTCTGGGTACCACTTGAGAACTCAGGATTCCATAAATACTTTTAGGAATTAAAAGAGATGTATATGATTCGGGCTGGCGCAATAGCACAGTGGGTAGGGCATTTCCCTTACACGCGGCCAACCCAGGCGACACAGGTTCGATTCCTCCGCCCCTCCCAGAGAGCCTGGCAAGCTACGAAGAGTATCTCGCCCACAGGGCAAAGCCTGGCAAGCTACCTGTGACGTATTCGATATGCCAAACACAGTAACAAGTATCACAATGGAGACGTTATGGGGCCCACTCAAGCAAATTGATGAACAATGGGACAGTGACAGTGACAGTGACAGTGATAGTGTATGATTCAGTTGATTCCAGGCTTCCTTCCTCTCTGGAGCCTAGATTGTACCCTCACCTTGACAGGTCTACACCACATGACAAGCAGTAAAGATCTATCACCAACGCTAATTAAACTAATTAAATCTCAGGTCTTTGCTAACCTAAGGATGACTAACCAGGACTAATTCAGATCGACTTATTTCAATTCCAGCAAATATTAGTATCTATGACCATAAAGGCCAGAGCAGCCCAAAAACTGTTTGAGGTTTGACACTTCCTGTGTTGTATGTGTTATGCCACTAACTGTGACAGTGAAGTTAACCAAGATGCCCATCCTGCCAAGTCCCCCCAGACCCAGAGCAGAGAATGCCAGGCCCGGATGTCCCCTTAAGATGAAGTCCAGAAAGAGATCAAATTAAAAGAGACCAAAATAGCTGGACGCCACGTCTAAATCCAGTATCTCCACAGTCTCTACACACATAGATTTCCCCAAAATGATCTAGACGGTATAAAAAGCCCAACACCTCCATGCAAAAGGACAAAACCCTATTTCTCAGTCATGTTGATTTTAAAAAAGTCTTTTTTTAAAGTTTTTAATGTATCACCATGAGGTACAGTTACAGACTTACAAACTTTCATGCTTACGTTTCAGTCATGCAATGATTGAGTACCCATGCATCCACCAGTGCCCATTCTCCACCACCAGTGTTCCCAGTATCCCTCCCACCACCCCACCACCCCCCGCCTCTGTGGCAGGCACATTCCCTTTTACTTTTTCTCTCCTTTTGGGTGTTGTGGTCTGCAGTGCAGATATTAAGTGGCCAACATATTCGGTCTATAGTCTACTTTTAGCATGCATCTCTCATCCTGAGCACCCCGCCAAGCACCCCCTCTCTTATCTCAGCTGCCTTTTCCTCCAGCATAAAATGAGTCTTTCTTATGCCTCTTGTTTTCAAAATGATAATTCAAGTGAATCTGTTTTGTTTGTTTTGTTTTGGGGGAACATGCAGCTGTGTTCAGGGCTTACTACTGGCTCTGCAATCAGGGATCACTCCTGATGGTGCTCAGGGGATCAGGGGTTGAACCAGGGTCAGCGACATGCAAGGTATGTGCTTCAACCCCTATACATCTGTCTGTCCTGGCGATCATATGAGGGTGAGTGGGGAACAGAGGAATCTTTGAAGAATGAGAACTGAAGAAGTATATAAATATGTACCATATGATTCCCCTCTCTGGAAGTCAGGGCTTCCGAATATTTTCATGACTAATGCAATGAAGGAAAAAGGTCAGAAACCCGGAACATTCCTGCATGCCAGGTTAGAAGGAATCAGCCCACATCACTGAGCCGTTACAGTGCGTGGATCAAGGGTCCACCATTTTTATCTGACCCCTCATGAGCCATCCAAGAGATGGTGCCCTGTTTCATACAGTGCTCCAAGATGAGATGGTTCGATACTAGGTGTGTACTGGGTATATGTAGTTTCACATAGTAAGCAGAAGTTAGCTATGCAACGTACATGTGAGATCAAAACAAGCATAAAACAATATTGGCCAGAACCCAGTTACATTCTATCCAAGGCCCAAGAAACCCAGGCCACAAAGATCAGAAGCTTAATAAAATGAACTCCTTGGTCATGGGCATCCTATGTGATGTTCCATCCAAGAGCAGAACCGTTTGATATTTAACACCTCATTTTCCTAAGAATTCCACATACGGGCCACAGAGCCTTTGATAGGCTGAAAGTGTATGTACGTTTCACCCACCTTCACAAGTACAACATTCTTTGCAAGACTGCATCCATCGCACTTGGTTTGGGAATGCCGTGCCCATCTAAGGTTCTGTTCAGTAAGCGTGGTCCTTCCCATTCTCCCCTAACTCATCTCTAAGGTCCTGTTCACTAAGCGTGGTCTATTTCCTCACCAATAAAAAGACCTCGAGGAGGTTAAGGAGTGCGCATATTTCCTGGGATTGTTTTGGCGGGCGGTGGGGGGGGGGGGGGGGGGTGAGCAGCTGATGGACAAAACACGTGGTCCTTCTTCCTCTGAGCATGGCCAAGAGGCCGAGACGAGACTCTGCTCTGAGGTCCTTCCCAGCGCCTGGGTGAGTTGAGGGGGAACAGGATGGATGGTGAGGGACGGTGGTTTCACCCCTAACCTGCTTGTCAACACCACACCCGGAAACTCTGCTGGAAAGGAATGAAGGAGGGACTGCGCCGCCTGCTACCCAAGTGAAATTGGCAGGGCTGGGCATTTTTCCCACACAAAGCCTTTGCGCCTCTGTGCCCATCCGCTAAAAAAGAAAAAGAAAAAAAAAATCCAAGATCCGGTGCTCCAAATCTGCGCACCACTCTCCCGGGCTGGAAAGATCAATCTCTCCCGTTGAATCAAACCAGTCCCTACCATGTCCTGACACCCCCCTCCTAAAGGACGCCCCCCTAGCTCCAACCACCCATTCCCGAACCAGCCAAATGCAATCGTCACAGCTGACCGTCTAGCCGAAACGATCAGCAGCAGCCAACTCCCCCCGGCGGGGCGGCACCGCGACAGCGTGTCTGGGCTCCGGGCAAACCCGAGACACGTGCGAGCGGGCAAGCGCGCGGGGGCCCCTTTATTCGGCGTTGCGGGGCGCGCACTCGGCTTCTCGCCGGCGCGCACGCACGCTCGCCCTCCCGCGCGCCGCACACCCCGCTGGGGACCTGCTTTCCTCCCGGCTAGACCGCAGCGTGCCCGGATCCGCCCGGTTTCGCTCGGCTGAGCACCCGCGCCCCCGACGCATCTCCTCGTGGGGGGGTGGGGGGGTGAGCGCTGCGGGCAGGCGGTGCGTGCGGAGAAGAAGCCGGAGCGAAGCGACGAGGATGGGGGAGGCCGGGGAGGAGGGAACAGAGGCTGCTCCGAGGGGGGACGTGGGATCTGGGGGGGAGGGGGGAGGTCCCCTGGGGTGCTGGCGGGAGGAGAAGGAGGGGGGCAGGGTAAGCGCCTGGGACCAGAAGGGCTCCGTGGGAAGGCAAGGCAGGGAGGGGAGGGGGGGCCACTCACCCAAGGTTTTGACCGCGATCTGCCGGGTGAGGGGCGGCGGCAGGTTGATGCACACCAAGTCCACGTCCTGATGCAGCAGCACCTCGTCGATGCGGCTGGTGTAGAAGGGGACGCTCATCTCCTTGGCCAGCTCCTCGGCTTCCTCGGGCGTGCGGCCCCACAGAGCCTTCACGGCGAAACCCTCGTCTTTCAGCAGCGGGATGATGACTCGGGCCGTGAGGCTGGTGCCGAACACGCCCACCCCGGGGAGCATGGCTGCTCGCGGCCCCCGGTGGCGGCGGCGGCGGCGGCGGCGGCTCGGGCCGGCGACACGCGCGCACACGCCCCTCTCCCGGGCCGGTGCCGCCCGGCTCGCCGGGGGCCGCTGGGGCCGCGGCGCGCGGTGGCGGCTACTGCGGCGTCCGCCACGCGGGGCTCCCGCCCTTCCCCGAGGAGGCGGCGGCGGCGGCGGCGGCGGCGACGGCGGGGGGGACCTCGGCGGGTGGCCCCAGGCCCCGCAGCCCCGCGGAGCCCCGACTCAGGCTGCGCCCCCGCTGCGGCGGCGCCCGCTGGCTCCGTGCGCCCGGCCGCCGCGGCCGCTCCATAGCCGGCGCATCCCCGCGCCCGCGCCGCGGCGTTTCCGCAACCCGCGTGGGGCGCCCCGCACGCGCCCCCGCGCCCGGTCCGCGCCCGCCCGGGTCCCGATCGTCCGCGCCCGCCCCGGGAAGCCGCCGCCCCGGCCGCGCCGAGGGAGGACCAGCCGCTGCGCCCCGGCCACAGGGCACCCGCTCGGGGCCGCTCACGCCGCTGCCAGGTCCGCGGGGCGGCGCGGCGCCGGCTCGGGCTCCGGGTTCCCGCGGGGCCGAGGGCGGAGTTGGGGAGTTTGGCTGTCAGCGGCCCCTGGGTTCCTGCACCGCCCCCGCCGCTGCGCCGCGCGCGATTGGCCGCCGCGCCCGGCCCCCGCCCCCGCCAGCCCGGCCCGCGGTGCGCGCTGCGCCGCGGCCCCGGGAAGCCGCCGGCTCCTCCCCGGCCCCGCCTCGCTCCCGCCGGCCCCGCGCGCCCGCTGCCTTTTCTTTGCCCTCCGCCACCCTTTTTTTTTTTTTCCTCCCTGCTTCTTATTTTTTTTTCCCCAAGCCCCGCCCCGGACCGGTAAATAAATCTATCCAAGGCCCGGCGGCGCGCGGTCTCGAACCCGCGGCGGGGAATGCCGAGCCCGGCGCCAGGAGCGTTTCCTCCGTGCAGGGACCCTTCCCCGGGCGTGGGAAGCTGGCGCTTGCAGCCCTGGCAGCGAGCCCCGAGAGGCCTGCTGACCCTCCATTTAAAAGCGGATGCCACTCAGTCCGCCGGGAGGGTAAAGTGACCCGCACACGGTCCTACCGCAGGTAAGTGACGTCGTTCCCGGGATTGGAAGGCAGGTGCCCCTGGCTCTGGAGCGAGTGAAGTGAGATTCTGGCTGCTGCGCCAGCCGGCTCCGCACTGACCAGCTTTGACCCAGACGTCCTCGTGCCTGGCGGTCACAGCCCGGCCGGGTCCCCAATGGGGCTCCTTGCAAATGCGCGTCTGCGCCTGAGCTTTGCAGAAGCGGGGCTTACCTAGCCGGACTCCACGCCAGCCTACAGCAGTGATTCTCTTTGCTGGGACCTCCCGTCTGTGCCCCCCCACCCCCACCACCACCATCTGCCTGCTCTGCTACCCCCCACTGCACCCCCACCCCACCCCCCAGTTCTTTCCCGAGCCCAGCTTGTTCGCCTTCCTCAATGTGGCCCGGTGTGTGTTAGATGCTCAGGGCACATTTGCCAAGTACACGCTCCCCGCGCGCCTTTTGGTGGGAGACCCGCGCTCGAGGTCTCAGGGGGAGTCTTAGCTGTCTGTGCTGTCTCTGTCTTGGTCTTCAGCACTCAGTTTAGACTGGCACCGGGTTACTTCGACACTCACTGGAAAACGTGACGCCTGCCAGTTTCAGGCAACGTGTAACCTCCTGGCACCGAGGCCGGCTCGAGGAGAGAGCTGAAAACCAAAAAAGCTTTATGTGTGGCAACGCTGGGTGGAGGCGACCTGGGGCACTGGAGGAAAAGCGCTGGGGACACCGCGTGCTGGGGTGCCAGCCAGCGGCTGGGAGGGTCGAGACCCAAGGGCAAATTGCCACAGTAAGTGGGAGGCGTTTCCCCCTCCCTCCCCCCCCCCCCCGTTTTGTTTTCTAGGCCACACCCGGGAGGTGCTTTTGTTTTCTCCACTCAGTACGTTGCTGGGGTCACTCCCAGCTAGCTCTGTTCAGGGACCAGGCAGTGCCAGGGCCAGAACCCAGCCCTGAGAGGTGTCTTCCGAGCACTGAGGCAGGAACCGGCAGTACCGGCGATGGTGTTGCTTAAACAGCATCTGCCCCATCCAGCGAGGCTGGTTCTGTGTCAGAGATAGCCGGTTCCCACGAGGAGGTCGAACTTAACCTTGGGTTGGAAAGCAGCATGTCCCACCCCAGCGTCTGGAGATGACCCCCTGGCCCCCTGCCATTTACTAGCTGTAGGACCTAAGCTGGAGGGATAGCACAGTGGGTAGGGCATTTGCCTTGCACGCGGCAGACCTGGGTGACCTAGGTCTGATTCCTCCGCCCCTCTTGGAGAGCCCAGCAAGCTACCGAGAGTCTCTCGCCCGCATGGCAAAGCCTGGCAAGCTACCCATGATGTATTCGATATGCCAAACACAGTAACAAGTCTCACAATGGAGACATTACTGGGCCCAATCAAGCCAACTGACTGGAGAACAGTACTATAGGACCCAACAAATTACTTCCTTTTCTGGTTCCTACTATCGGTCACCTGGGGGCATCCAAAGGATTGAACGAGTTCTTCTTGATAAAGCCTTAGAATATGGCTGGGCACATAGTCAACATGACATCCATGTTAAATTTTTAAAAAAGAAAAAAAAAACAGTCTGTCGATGGCCAACTTTTCTGGATAGGAGAGACAACTGCATAAAAGCGTCAATATTGAGTCAATAAGAAGAAACTCCTTTGGGGGCTGGAGTGATAGTGCAGCGGGTAGGGCATTTGCCTTGCACTCGACCCATCTGGATTCGATTCCCAGAATCCCATATGGTGCCCTGAGCACCATCAGGAGTAATTCCTTTTTTGTTGTTTTTTTTTTTAGGGGGGGAGGGTCACACCCGGTGATGCACAGGGGTTACTCCTGGCTCTGCACTCAGGAGTTCTCCTGGCAGTGCTCAGGAAATCATATGGGATGCTGGGAATGGAACCCGGGTTAGCCACATGCAAGGCAAACGCCCTACCCGCTGTGCTAGCTCCAGGAGTAATTCCTGAGTGCAGAGCCAGGAGTAACCTGGGTGCATCTCTAGTGTGACCCAAAAAGCCAATAATATAATAATAATAAATAAATAAAATTTTAAAAAAGAAAAACAAAGAAGGAACTCTTTGTCTTTTAAACTCTACTTCTGACTTTAGCATAAAGAAAAAATGAATTTTTTCAGTCTACATCATAGTAAAAGGAAATGATCCATTTTGGTTCTCTCTAGGAATGTGTAAGACAAACCTTATCCCCATTTCATAGAAGAAAAGGAAAAAATGCAATCCAGCCAGAAACTCGGATGTAATAATCTGAACCAGAACCCCTCATTTCTAGACCTCCCCCGAACTACCTGTCCCCAAAAACTGTCTCCCACCATCAGCCTGATCTCCACAAAGGGCATCACCTCCAATAGACACACAGCAGGTTGGTCAAAGGGCTGGGAGCTTCCAGGATTCTAGGCTGTGTGCTCTGAGGTCAACCCCGTTAGTTCTGCTCCCAGATGCATTCTGGCCCAGCCAGGACTCACATCTTTTCTTCCTGGCCCCAGAAAGTAGCTTCCTCACTGTCCACCTGTCCCCATCCTTGCTCCCAGAGTCCATCTTCCATGTCTAGGCTGACCTCTGCCACGATAAGTCAGACCACATTGCTCCGGGCATCCAGCCTCCTGGTGACTAAACCTCAAAGTTGCCAGGCTGGCTCGCTAGGGTCTCCCTGGCCTCAGCCGCACTCTTGCACAACTCATGGCTTCTGCTCCTGCCCTGTGTCCTGCATTCTCATTCAGTATCTGAGCACTGTGGGCCAAGTCCATGCTGCTTCCGGGCTTCCGTATCGTCTATTCCCTTTCCCCATCTCCTTGCAGCTCCCACACCCGCTTTACTCGCCCTGTGGTGCCCTTCCCAGATTGGCTACCTGGACTGACACCTTGTCATGTGTCATCCCTCTAGCTGCCTGTATGTCTCATTCAGGTGCTCCCTACCTCATGGTCTATTTTGTATCCATTTCTTATCTCATTGTTTCTTTGCCTCAACAGATGAGAAACTCCCAGGCATCTGGGGTATGTGTCTGTTCTCTGTGAATCCTGAGTTTAAAGTTGAACCTGCTCCTCACTCACAGTCCCTTTGTCGATGAGGGCTTGTAAGTTCTTCTAATAACCATGTGTGACCGTATGATTATTATTTATAAGGTCTTTAGAAATTGTGCCAAATGCCATGCACAAGAATAGCGTCAGCCCTGAGAGTGCCTCGCTGAGTCCTTGCCATCAGGTCTCTATGCAGGGGACGTGGGGACGTGGATTGTCAATGGCAATGACATGTGACTTGTGCCAGTATAAGGAGCTTTGAAATCTGATGTTCAGAGAGAGGAGTGAGCTAACCAGTATCTCTCAATTGGAGGCCATATGGCCTCAAGATCTTCCAAGGGGGCCACAAGTGAAAATCACCTAAATGGTGATGGAGGGAGGAAGGTTATGGCATAAGACGAGGGGCTCAGCGGATAGGACAGGAGGGCAGGGATAGAAAGGAAAAAAGTCAGAAGGAGGCCATATTGGGAAAAAATTGGTGAGAGGGCCAGAAAGGTGGTACAGTGGTTAGGGCACTTGTTTTGCTTGTGCCAGTCCTGAGTTTGATCCCCAGCACTCTATATGGTCTCCAGAGTTCACCAGGAGTGATCCCTGAGCACAGAACCAGGAGTAAGCCTCAAGCACATCTGGATATAGTCTGAATGCCCCCTCCACACACACATAAAATCACTTAGACATATTACAGATATTTTTTAAAAAAAGAAAATGAAATCTCCTAACCGTTTCCTCCCTACATAGTCACTGCAAATATTCTCATTTCATGTTTCCAGTTATGGGAATATGTTCATTTTTTAAATGAAAATAAAAAGAGGTTTTGCTTTTCAATTTGTTCTTTTTAACATGAGGTACAAACAGGTCTTGGTTGTTTTTAGTTAAGTCTCCATAAATACTGAATAGTCTTATTATTTTAAAATTGTTGGCATGAAATAAAATTTACCTTGTAGAACTTGAATTATTACACGTAGCTATAGAAGGTCCCAAATCAGTGTTTCCAAACAGCTGCAGTGTGTACAGTGCTGAACTGTACTTCGAACTTGTTCTCATTAGTCATTTTTAGTGGGGGATGGGGGGGTAGGAAAACTCTACAAGTGGCCAAAAAGAACTGGAGAGTTGGTCTATAAAACTGAGCTTACCCGAGGTGGGATGCGGATTGCGGAGAATCCACGAGACTTTCGTGGAGGGAAGGGGATACTCTGGGGGTGGGAGAGGTGTTGGATGGAACGATTCATGTATGGAACTATCATTAACAGTATGATAAATCACCTGTAATACAAAGAGGAAAAATAAAATTTTTTTCATGACACATATTTGAACTTGTTTTCATTCATAATTTTAATTCGGGGGGGGGGCGGGTCCCCAAGTAGTACTCAGGCTTGCCCGAGAACAGATGACTGGTTAAAGAAACTTTGGTATATCTACACAATGGAATACTATACAGCTGTTGGAAAAGATAAAAAATCATGAAATTTGCATATAAGTGGATGGACATGGAGAGTATCATGCTAAGTGAAATGAGTCAGAAAGAGAGAGACAGACATAGAATGACTGCACTCATTTGTGGACTATAAAGTAACTTAATAGGAGACTAACATCTAAGGATACTAGAGATAAGGGCCAGGAGGATCGCTCCACGACTTGGAAGCTGGTCTCACGTGCTGGGGGAAAAAGCAGTTGGGATAGAGAAGGGACCACTCAGTAAGTGATGGTTGGAGGGATCGCTCAGGATGGGAGATGCATGCTGAAAGCAGACTATGGACCAAACATGATGGCCGCTTGGTACCTGTACTGCAAACCATAAAATCCAAAAGGAGAGTATGAGGAAAAATGCCTGCCACAGAGCCAGGGGGGGTGGGGGGGGGAATGGGATTAGGGTGACAGAAGGGATACTGGGAACATTGGTGGTGGAGAATGGGCACTGGTGAAGGCATGGGTACTTGAACATATGTCTGAAATGTAATCACCAAAGTTTGTATGTGTTCTGTGTCTCACAGTGATTCATTAAAATAAAATTAAAAAAAAAAGTAGTACTCAGGCTGCCCCTGATCCCTCCCAGGGATCCTCACCGGCAGAACCAGTGGTCAGGCCTGAGAATGTGGCGCTACTCAAGTCCTGTGGTGCCAGGGACCCCGAGGCCACCACAGTGGCGCGGGGAACTTCAGGTCAAGCCCCATGATGCTCATGAGGCCCATTGGTGCTAGCAGTTTGAACATGATGGGACGCATGACTCAAACCCCCAAATTGTCTCCCGTGGCCTCTTAACAATAGCCCTTCAAGGTCCGACTCACCACCGTTCTTTGGGGGAGTTTTGTTGTTAATAGCTGCCAAGTGTCTAGGGTTTGCTGCAGAAAAGACACTTGGCTAAGCACTTCCAATGCATTCACGGCTTATTGTTCTCTCACGTCAGCACAATTATTCCCTTTATTAAAAAGAACAAAACTGCAGCAAAAGTTCAGGATGGTTCAGCGGTTAGGAGTGTACAGGGACTCAAGTTCGTAACCCCACACAATGGTCACCCCAGTGCCACCGGCTATGGTCTTGGAGGCCTCCTTGCACAGCCAGGCTAGCCGGGTGGTCCCCAGCATTGCAGAGCCTGGCACCTCAACTCAAACCAGCTGGTCCGGTGGGTGGAGTTTCACTGGGATGGGTCCCTCAGCTGCCTGAGCACCCCCCAAAATTAAGTACTGAGGGCCAGGGAAATAGTTCAAGTAGTAGAGCACATGGCTGGCACGTGCAAGGCCTTGAGTTCGATCCCAACAAGCTCACCCAGAACCCCTGGAAGGAACCCTGGTGTCTCTTAAACACCACTGGTGTGCCCCTGGGGGCCTCCAGCACTGCCACCTGGAGCACTGATGATGATGCAGGTCAAACTTACTCAGGAATGACCCACAGAATCCCCAACACACTGCCTGATTTGGATCCTATAAAAAAAAGAAAGAAAGAAAGAAAGAAAGAAAAGAAAGAAAGAAAGAAAGAAAGAGAAAGAAAGAAAGAAGAAGAAGAAAGAAAGAAAGAAAGAAAGAAAGAAAGAAAGAAAGAAAGAAAGAAAGAAAGAAAGTCACTTGCCTAAGGCGAGCCCTGAGGATATCGTGGTATCCTGCTGTCCTGGATCTTCTGCCAGATCACTACCCGCCTTGCCCCTGGCCATAGGGCACTAGCTGCTAGAAAATGTAGAACACTCCCCTTTCTCCTCTCCTAAACAAGGGCAGCCAAGGTCCCAGGGAGGAGTTCCCAGAGCCATACAGGAAGCCAGGAGACCAACTGTGCTCGTGATGGGGTGGGCAGGCCAGTGCGTCTCTCACCTGGACCCACCGGCAGCTCCCTGGGTCCTGTCACAGTGCATATTTCCATGCATCAGTGTGAGAGCTACTCAAAGCCAGAGCTGACCTGTTCAAACCCCGCGTCCCCGTCCCCTCCCAATGTCCCTCTGTGCTGACACAGCCTCACCCCAACAGCATGACCCAGGTGTTCTACATCTATGTAATCATCTACTCTTGGCTCAGCAGCAACTCCTGGCATCTTCTGCCTCAGGACACTTGCACTTCCTGCCCTCTCCCTCGACAGGACACCCCTCAGTCTTCCTGCTCCAGTGGGCTTATTCCCAGACTTTTGTTTCCTGACACCTGTCTTCTGTACCCCTACTCCCATCTCTTCCCACCTCCTGCAGCCATTCTTCAATGCCCTCAGTTTAACAATCTTTACAGCACTTACAGAATCTTCTGGTTCCTTTCTTGGCCACTACCTATATTTTCTCTGACTGGACTCCATCCTGTTTAGCTTCCAAGGTCGGGGGGTTGATCCAAGTTGTTCCTCTTTCTCTGCGGCTAAAAAACGCGTGGGAGTGATAGCACAGCGGGTAGTGAGTTTGCCTTGCACCCGGTTGACCCGGGTTCTATTCCCAGCATCCCATATGGTCCCCTGAGCACCGCTAGGAGTAATCCTGAGTGCATGAGCCAGGAGTAACCCCTGTGCATCGCCAGGTGTGACCCAAAAAGAAAAAGAAAGAAAACTATAAAAATCGCGTGGGTCCTCACTCAGAAACAATAGATCTTCGCTGAATGAATAAATAAACACACGAGCATTAGAATATTTCCCAACATTATGTAATGGCGGCGGAAGGAGAGGCTTATGTCATAATAATGTTTAAAAGGCCAAAGCAGGGGCCAGAGAGACAGTGAAGCAATTAGGTGCATGCAAGGTCGACCAAGGTCTGATCCCCAACACCATATGGTCCTCCTAGCACAGCTGGCTGGGACCCAAAACCCGGGCACAGCCAGGGTGTCCTGGGAAATACCCGGCAGCTCAGGGTCCGAGCAGTACCACATTCTCGGACCCTCAGAGTGACTTGCCTGCTGGTGGGCTGAGAATTGGGGAGGAACCTCCTGAGCAGTGATTAGGAGGTCATCTACCCCAAAAGCCAAAGCAATAATTGCATATATATGATATAGTTGCAGTTCTTACTTTTGGCTTTTTGTATAGTGATTCATAATAGTGCCAGAGAAAATACAGTGAGTAAAGCACTTGCCTTGCAAGCAGGAAGTACAAACTGGGTTCAATCTAACACACCATATATGGTCTCCTGAGCCTCACAGGAATGATCCCTGAGTAGAGAACCAAGAATAAACCTTGAGCGACCATGGGGGATGGCCCAAACCATATTGTGTATGTATATGTTGATATATACATCTGTAGGCAATGTTAAGTATGCAATTCAATGGCATTAAGTACATTCATATTGTCGTGCATATACCTATATGTTTTTTTTTTAAATTTTTATTAGTGAGACACCATGAGGTACAGTTGTAGATTTACAATTTTTTGTGCTTGGGTTTCGATTATACAATGATCAAATACCCATCCCTACACCAGTGCCCATTTTCCACCACCATGGATAATATCCCCCCCACCCCCATCCCCCCCATCCCACCCTGCCTCTGTGGCAGGGCAATCCCTTGTGTTCTCTCTCTTCTTTTGGGTGTTGTGGTCTGCAAAAGAAGCATTGAGTGGCAAACATGTTCAGTCCATAGTCTACTTTCGACATGCATCTCCCCTCCTGGGAGGATCCTCCAAACACCCTTTATTTGGTG